ATTATTATTATTATTATTATTATTATTATTATTATTATTATTATTATTATTATTATTATATTGTTGTTGTTGTTGTTATTATTATTATTATTATTATTATTATTATTATTATTATTAGAAAAATTAATAGCGAAATTTCAGAATAAGAGAATTTCGTCATTTAGATAATAACAACTCTGTGAAAGTATAGTATAGTATAAAATATTATATCATCGTTGTATCCATTCAAGATACATGTAACATCGCAATGTACTTAGATATCGCTTGACTCGTAGCACGGGATACGAATTATTCCATTGTTGAATTCGATCGTGTTTGCGATCAATGCGAAAATTCGATAATAGAAAAGTTTAATATAGTATAATATTTTAAAACTATATTATTATTGTTAATTTCTTTATTCTTTTATCTTTTAGAAAGAGAAAAAGTATCGTTCTAACTTACGTTTTCATAGTAGATATTACAATTTCTATAAAAGGAAGTTTCCCAATATATACTGTGGTAAAGAAATTAAAGGAAAGTTGGATAAAATGTCACGTGTCCATGAAATAAATATAGGAAATATTTGTTTTAATTTGTTCACAGATATACTTACATGTCCCAGCATGTAGGTGGAAAATTAATATTGCATAAAATATAATTGTAGTAGATCCATATATTAGATACTAAACAACTGGATAAATAAACGAATATTTATATTTATATTCGAATTAAATATTTTATATTATATTAAATTATTTAAAAATATCATTCTATGATATTAACATACGTGTTATATTTTTTTGCGCTCTACTCAATTATAGAATAGCTATAAGTATTACAACTATGTAACACATCTTCGTCTTCCTGTTCTATTCTCAAGTGATCCTCGTTTCTCGATATATTCGTTTGTCATAGATCTTACTCGAGCTACGATATTGCAATCGAAGCATCAATCAATTTTTTTTACAATTATAATATTGCACGTTTCTCTTATTGAAACAATATCGAGTATAATTATGGCATTTTATAACATAAAGTAGTGCTGCAACTGGGACAATAAATAGATCTAGAAATTACTTTGCACTGTTTGGTCTATCGAACGAACGAGCAAAACGTTCTTAAAGAAAATAACTATGAAAGAATCTCACACGAACTGTGTACTTTCAAATGCACTGGTTGATCGAATGCACAAGTACGGAATATTTTACTTTCGTTATTACGCGTTTATTCAACGCGATTGATATATCGATATATAAGAAAAATGATCTATTTTTTAATAATATCTAAAAATATATAATAAAAGCATAATTTACGTCAAAGCGAAATGAGTATAGTAAAAAAAAAAAAAAAAAGAGCATTAATTTAGCATTTAAAATCGAATATAAGCGAATTAATTATCGTTATTAGCAATAACTTATCACTCAACTGAATCATAAGAACGTTTTCTCGACGCAATAACGTGAATTGCTTAAATGGGACCAACGGAAAGTAATAAATCAAAATGTAACTGTGTGTGTACGTACGTACCTGTTCGATTTGTAAAAAATTCGTTTAAAATATTTATTTTCCTTTCTGAAACGAACAATTAAATGTTTGTTATATTTGTTGTACGTGAATGTTGAAGATACGTGTAGGAACATTATCTCTATTACACTTTTGTGTACGTAATAAAACATATATTGAATGTAATTAAACACCGTTTAATGCTTGCTATCTAGAATTTCTATCATTCACTTATCATTCTTATCGATTAAATAACTTTTTAGTTTTATCAACACATTTAGTTTTTATTTCATAAAAAATTGCAATACCTACAAAATCAATCAGACATTTCTTTACTTAAAATGAACAGTTTGCGGTATATAAGTGTATATATATTAAAGTTACAGCTGCCAATAAATATAATTATCAAGTAGAAAAGGAATAAAAAGATATATATATATATATCTTCTATAAGGTTTTCAAAAAACTTAACACTTCGTATTTTACATTAATGTGTGATGTAATCGATGTTTCTGCGGTTTCTTTAAATTTTTGAAGGAATAATTAAAGATGTTGTTCGAATTAAAACACAATTATTCTGTTTTTAGACAAAAAAAAAAAAAAAAAGAAACAGACACATTTACCATGACGCATACCAATTTCTTTCAATATTTGGACGAATTTAGCTTTTGACAGGTGTATTCTTTGGTGGACCACCGAATCGTTTCGTTAATTGTATTATCCTCTCAGCTTCGCGAATACCACTCAATCTAGCCCCATGTACTGTGCTGTAATGTCCTGGAATTGTGGCTTCTCCAGCGAATAAAAGAATCGGAGGTATAGGTTCGCACGTACCTACGCACCGTGGAAGAAATCGTGTTACGTAAAGGAAGAAAGAACAGATGTTGTTATTATTTGACAGAGAGAGAGAGAGGGGGAGAGAAGAAAGTTGAAATATACCTGGCAACGGACTAGCTAAATCACATTGGTGACCAACGGTACTCTCCAATCCCATATAACTGTATGAACCGGAAAAATATTGATCCATGCACCATTTGCTTCTGAGAAGATTTGCTGGATAGGGGAGTGTAGGATCACCGGTGAATTGTCGAAGAACTCTCGTTATTGACTCGACCACCTCCTCGTCGGAGCACAATTCCATATCAGCCGCCTCTCGACCGCAAATCCACGCGCATAAAACGTGCTGGGAAGTCGATAATTCTTCCACGTTTGAAATTCCTGCGAAAATATCGATATTACAGCTGCGTTTGAAAAAAAAAAAAAAAAAAGAGAAGAAGAGATATCGAAACAATTCTTTTTTTGCTTTTTTTTTTGGTGTAAAACGTAAAATATAGCATCGTTAATTCTCGAGGGGAGAAGAAGATTTCTCTCTCGATTCGTCGACGATATTCAAATTCGAAATGGAATTATTGATGACCTTTGAAACGATACCTTTCACCCAATCGCATCTATCGGCAAGCTCGTCAGCTGACCAAGCCAGTTTAAGACCTCCTTCCTTCCAAACCCAAAACGGCCTCGCGTATTCCAAGAATATTTTATTAACGTATCCGTATCCCAATTTGCAAATCGCTTCCACTTTCTCCGCTGGTAATGCGGGGCAGAAAAGTTTGTCGTGTTGGTGCTTCAACACACCGAGGGACACGGTGATTATCACGTAATCGGCCGGAAATTCTTCCCCATCGCAACACTTCACCACTGCTCGGGGACAAGAATCGCTTATGGCGCCCCATCTAATGCAACTTACCGGTTTACAATATCTGATACAGAAAATATTACACGATTATATATATGTGTGTAATTTTTCGTAAAAAAAAAATCATATAAATTTTAAAGTTTAAATTAAGATTTTCGAGAAGAAGATGAAGAAGAAGATGATAATTTAATTCAATCGATGATGATAATAATAGAAATAAATGTCGATAAATCGAATTTCGAAATTTGATTTTCAATTTGGTTATATACGAATAGATATCTTTTATATACGTAGAATAATTTCAATGATCTATTTTCGGCCAGATATTCTAAGATAAGATCGCTATTGGATCAATTCAACGAGTAATCTTTAAACGTAAATATATATTTATAGCGAAATGCGGTGAACATACCGGAAGTACTGCAACTGTGAGTACTAATGAATATTAAAATGAAATTCTTTCAGTCGATTTATTCGAATTTTAGAATTGATAAAATAAATTTTGACATTAACATAGATTGCTAATAATAATAACCATTAATAAATCTAAGTGCAACACGATCCCATATCGTCAAATATTCATTCGGTGCATCTATCAATTGAATTTTGAAAATCCGTTTTAACTTTGACATTTTGGGAACAAGATTGCTAAGAAAAGATCGATCGATGGATATTTGTTAAAAACGGGAAAATACGACGATTTTAAAAAAAAAAAAAAAAAGAAAAGGATGGGAAAATGACGTTTCAACAATAATAATATTTAACTAACTTGAGAGCACAGCTCGGCAGATCTCGTAACAACGGCGCAAGTACTCCAACGTATCCAAGGGGCACTCTCACGTTTCCTCCAGGTATCTCGATGTAACTTCCAAACTGATCGGCGGAAACGAGGGACAGATCGTCCCCGCATCGACATCTCACACAGTTCGTCATTCCGTACATCACCCTGGCTGCGTCATATCTGAAAAACGCAAAATCGATCACGGTATAGAAGGAGAACGGTTTTCGGATATCGTGTTTTTAAAAACGCAGTGATGTAAAGTAACGTTATGACCGATTGAAAGAATCTTGTCCAATCCTAGATATAATAAGAAGAGGTAAAAGAAATCGAAATGTGCAATTAAATCGGACGATTTATTAAAGAAAAAGAAAAAAAAAGAAAAAAAAGAAACTGTCAAATTATCTCTGAAACGGAGCAATTTAATATTAAAATGGCTGGTTGTTAACTCGTTAATACTTAAATATTATTTACAACTACTTTTACATCACTGGTGATACAGTTTGCAGTTGACCTGGGCAACTGTACCGTTGCTCCTCCGGGAAATTGTGGAGCTCCTGCTGAATTCGGACGCCCATGAAATTCAGCAACGTACCGTGGGTCCGGCCACAACCTAGGGAGAAAAGAGTTGCCGCCTGCTGCTCGATCTGTCGAAATGTATGATAAGCCGTAATGCTGACGGGAAGATCGATAGCACGGCCGTCGCTCGTGCAAAAGAGTCCACGACTCGGATCAGGCCTGAACAGGGGCGGTTTCAGAAGACCCTCTTGGGCAGCCAAAGTGAATACAGGATTCGCCACGCATCCACCTTCGATCCAGGTGGCACCCATCTCGGCCACCACGTCTCCCAGCCAACACGAATGGATTCGACCTCCTGGTCTGCGAACAAACGTTATCCAACATATTTTATATACTTGCTTTTCTAAAAAAAAAATTTCTAATCGCGTTCTAATCATCTATGTAATACACACGCGTTCATAAGAATGATATACCTATCCGTTGCCTCTAATATCGTAAAATTTTGAAGACCGCATTGAGCCAATCGATGCGCCGCTGAAAGTCCGGCCATCCCAGCGCCGATGATTACGACCGTTGGTTCCGGTTTGCATGGATCTAGCATACAAGGATCCAATTGACACGATTCGAATTTGGCCAGCTTCGTACATGGTGGTATATTCTTTTCTCCTCCTTCTTTACTCGATGCAAAATTTCTATGGGAATCCAACAAAAATTTAATTTAAGAATTGAACATCTTATCTTATCTCTATTTAAAATTTCCCCATATTTCTCGTGCAACCGGATAATTTGATAAATAATTATAGAAGACGATAAAAGATAAAAATGTCATTGGAATTATTACAAGATACCGTTGAATTTGACAGTGTAAAATTGAAAATTGTCGTCCGATTTAAAATTAAAAAATTAAAAAAAAAAATATTAATCATCGTCCAGAAAAATAGAAAATTGTAAAATAATTGTAGAAAAGATTGAAATTTGAAGTTAATTTAAAATTCTCAGTCTAAATCTGACATAGACAGTAGATGGAGTTATTAAACACAAATTCCAACCTCACATAAGATCTTTTGTAAAATCAAATGTCTTGTTATAACGTTACATAGATATAACGAGAAAACTTGATATATTAAATTATTCATTGCTTTTGTTGAAAAATGCGCGTGGAATATAATTAAAAACTCGAAACGTGAAATTTTTATCATTGACATTAAATGTCAGTGACTTTTACTAAATGTATGACTGTCTGGATCTACCTTATTAGAACTGTTCGAAATGTTCGAAAGGATAATTTGGTCCTCGCACGTAGCATTTCATTGGACATGAATGATCGGAACTAGTGAATTTGTTCATGAAGACGATGGAGCTTTATCTTGATAAGAATTTAGATGTAATTAAGGTGAGTTCCTTATTGGCGAACGTTGCTATGAAGAGAGCATATCACACGCGCAAACAAACGACCATTACCGTTATGATGTTTTGTTGTCGAGAATATTAGTCATAGCCAACTACGGTAAAGATTTTATTTGATCCTTGGATCACGATAAAAATAAATGATTAAAATTATTCCTCCTCTTCGGTGTTTGAATTATAAGTTATATAAACTAAATTATATAAACTATTAAAACTATAATAGACAAAGGATCATAGATAATATCGTATAATTATATTCTATAATTTATGATAATATTGTACAATATATCGTATAACATAAAATAAGTAATATTAATTAATATTAATTTTAAATAATTATTATCAATACATGTTTAAGATATAATTATAAATATTTAATCAAATTACAAGCTACGTCTCTTATACATAAATATATTATAATTTAAAGGACTTTTATTCACGATGTACATCTAATCAAAAAGCCTCTATGATTTTTCATTTTTTATGAATTGTCAATTTAATAAAAAATATGTTTTATGTTATCTTTTGCGTTTTCGATTCAAAGTTCAAGCATTCGATCCTCGTCACTATATCATTTGTAGATTTAAAAGATTCTTCCTTTATAGAAGAATGTTTCAAAGATTTGAGAATTTCTGTTGTATGATTTGTGATTTCGCGCCACGCAAAGGTGATATCCTCTTCGCGAGACAAACGACAACCTACTACAAATCGGACGATTATTTTATCGCGACACATTCCAGCTGTTACATAAATCTTTCTTCCGATTGTTAATCGATCGATAAGCTCCTTGGTTAAACAATCGTCACCCTAAAATTAATGATGATTTTTATTTTTCAATATATCAAAATTATTAAATCAAATATTATTTCTCTTATTATTTATATAGATACCTTTATTCTGAAACAACATAAACCCATAGATCTTTCGGTTATCATTTCAAATCTAGAGTCATTTTTAATATAATTTTCAAACATTTTAGCCAACTCAATTGTGTGTCGTATATAATGTTGGATACCTTCGATTCCATAAATACGTAATACGAACCAAACTTTCAACGAACGAAATCGGCGACCTAAAGATATTTGCCAATTCTAAAAAATAAAAGTTAAAAAATTAAAGCTTTTATTTAATTTTGTAAAATGTATAATGAAATATTATAAGATATTTTTAAAATACGATAAGATATAGTATTCGTATATTTTTTAATTAAACGTTTATTTAAAAAAATAAATCAAAAATATATATATATACTCTGAAATCAGGCAGTCCAGATTTATTATGATTTAAATAAATCCTATCTACATTGAAAGTTTCGCTAAATTTCTTAGAATCCTTTACCCTAAAAAGATATAATAAAAATTTTCAATAAATTCTTATTCGATTCTAATATTATTGTTCAATTGTTCAATTATCATAAAACAAAAATATATGCACCATAACAATGAACAATCAAAGTTTACTAGCATCCATTTATGTGCATTAACATTAAAGGAATCGGCATATTCAATACCGCACATTAAATATCGATATTCAGGGCAAATGAATGCAGAACCTGTAAAAATAATAAAATTTGCAATTATTATTTTTATCAAAATATCAAAAATAAATTAAAATAGAATTATTATTACTATTACTATAAAAAAATATAATTGCTCCATATAAATATATATATAATTTAAATTTATGATATCGAAGGAAAAAAATTTTTTAAAAGAAATTCTGATATATAAAATTAATTTAAAAAATGATCGATGAAGATTAAAATTAAAATTACTGACCTGCATATGCAGCATCGACATGCAACCATATATTGTATTCTTTACAAATTGGTCCCAATTCTTTAAGATTGTCGAATGCACATGTACCAGTAGTACCTAATGTAGCTATTACACAACATGGTATCAAACCTTTCTTCAAATCCTCTTTGATCGCTTTGAGTAATGTTTCACCTCGAAGAGCATATTTTTCATCAGTAGTTAAAAATTTCATGATAACTGATGCCAGCTTACCACCTTTCTCTACCGAAGAATTCGATTGATCTATAAAATAAAATTGAAAAAACAATTGAAAAATAGATAATTTATAATTCTTCGAATTATTTACGTGCTCTTCTTATTTACGTAAGAATACTAAAAAAATTATATCATGATTGAAATAGGGTATAGTGATAGAATAAATACCAGAAGTATATGCAACCAATTTGGCCTTGATAAAACCTTCTTCCCATTCTGGATGAAGACTTTTTATATAGCGCACAGTTTGTTCTTTTGCTGTTAACAAACATAATAATGTGGTTTCACTTGCTGATCCCTAATTAAACAAAAATAAATAATTTTTAAAATTTATTTTCTTTTGTTATTACAATTATTTGATTTTCTTAATAATTAAAAAACAACTGAATATAGC